GAATGCGGGGGACGACTCCTTGGCTCCGGGGAAGGGTTCCCCAAGCTCCCGGGTGGGGCTCTCCTGCAGAGTCAGGGCAGCGGTGACTTGGGCCGCCAGCAGCGGCCACTGGCGCCGGGGACCCCCCTCCCCCGCGCGCCGAGCCCGGGCCGCGCACCTGGTCGAAGAGGTAGACGGTGACGTCGTCGAAGAAGGACACGGCTTTCTTCTTGCGCTCCAGGTCCTCGCAGAAGGCCTCGGACAGCAGGCTGGGCATCTTGAGCAGGCTGCGCAGGTTGCGCGCGCTCTGGCTCTCGGCCACCACCACGGGCACGCGCGGCGCCTCCTCCTCGCTGTCCTCGCTGGGCTCCTGGACGCTGTAGCAGCGCAGCTCCTCGTCCGACTCGTCGCTGTCCTCGCTGTCCTCCTCGCCCGCCTCCGGCCGGCCCTCTGGGGCTGCGGGGAGCCCCGGCAGGGCCAGGCACAGTGGGGCTCTGGGGGCGCCCAGGCCCCCGGTCCGTTCCTGCAGGGCCGACAGCAGTCCCCCGGCCTCCTGGAGCTCGGGGCGGTGGCTCTCTGCGCTCTGAGGGACTGGGGTCAGCAGGAAAATCTTGGACCTCCCAGGGCTGGGCGCTGGCGGCACCTGGGCTGGGCCCTGGGGCCAGAGAGGCTCCACCCTGGGGCCGGTGGGGCCACTGGGGCAGGGGCTTGGCGCACGGGAAGAGTCCTCTGGAGGTGGCAGTGGAGATACCTCCTGGGGGCCAGGGCTCTGCGGCTCCCCAGGCACCCCGGGCTCAGGAGGAGGCTGTGCAGGCTGCAGCCCAGGGCTCTGCGGACTCTCCAGGTCCGGCTCCGGCCCAGGGGCCGGGACACCTCCTCCCCTCTTCTCAGGCTCCAGCGGGGGCTCGGGCTCGGTATCCAGGTCCGAGAAGTAGGCTGAGTCACGGTAGGGGTTCTTCTCGCTGAGGCCGCTGAGGGAGGCCGGGAGCTGAGTCTCTGCCCCGGGGCTGTCACCCTCCAAGGACGGCCCCCCGAAAGCCTCAGGCTCGCATGGTTCGTGCGTCTCCTTGAGCACAAACTCGGGGGATTCGTAGTTCTCCGTGTCATAGCCGCTGTCCAGGGCTCGGGGCTGCCCTCCGGAGGTGCCCACAGCCGACGGGCTGAAGACCTCACAGCCGCCGTCACTGGCCGAGGATGGGATGTCCAGGGAGTCGAGGGAGTCGGGGGTTCCCACCTGCTTCTGCAGGGAGCGGAAGGCAGGCATCAAGTCCAGCTTCTCGGCCTGCGGGCCATCACTGGACAAGTCGGTGAAAACACCAGAAGTGGCCTCGGTGATGTCGTCGTCCTCACTGCCCGGCGCCTCCAGCTCCAGGGAGCTGCTGCCACTGTCCAAGGTTTGGGCCGGCTCAGTGGCAGTTGCCTGGCTGCTGGCAGGCGTCGGGGAGGCAGGCAGGGCAGTGGGGGTGCTGGCCTCTTCTGTGGGAAGCAGGGCTCCCTCTTGGGATGGGGTCGGGATGGGTGGAAGGGGCAGTTGGGGTCTTGCAGAGCCCTCAGCCTCCTCTGCAAACCTGGGCCCTGCCTGGGGGCTGTGGCCCCCGCTTACAGCTGCCTCTGTCCAGGGGGATGTGACTAGGCTGGTGGCAGGTGCCAGGCCCTCAGCAGGACACAGATGCGGGAGGTCGAGGCAGAGGCCTGGCTCCTGGCCAAAGGGGGCGCCCTCTGGCCCAAGGAGAGGCTCTCTGGGGTCCTCTGGGGCCAGGGGGTGGCCCAGCTCAGACACAGCCCGTAGGGCCTGCTTCCTGCCAGGGCAGCAGTCCGTGTGGCCACCCGCGTAGCCTGGGACCGCGCACCCAGGTGCTCGGCTGCCTCTGTTGTTGTTGGCCGACACGTTGGAGCTCCAGTGCCTGTGCTGGGCGGCCCTGCCCTCCTCGGCCTCCCCCAGCTCCGCCCTGGCCCCGGACTGCAGTGCCCCTAAAGTTCCAGAGGGGGATGCTCCCAGCGGGTCCTCAAAGAAGGGTGGGCAGAAAGTGGCCACCCCCCAGTCAGTGTCCTCCTCTCTGCGCTCCATCAGCATCAGGCCCCTGGGAGAGGGTGAGCGGGAGGGGCAGGGCGGGTCCTGGGCAAGGCTCCCGCATGGGTAGTGGTCCCTAGAGCCCCAGGGGCCGCCCGCGGATGGCGCCTGGCCCAGCAGCGGCTCCATAGTTAGGGAGGTGGCTGCCCCGTCGTCTGAGTCCTTGTCACGATCACCACCCTCAGAGCGTGGGGCCACAGCACCAGGGCTAGGGGCGCAGCCGGCGCAGTCGGGGTCGTGGCCGGCGGCGGGCGTGAGCTCCTCCAGGCGGATGAAGTACTCGCTGCCCACAGAGGGGCTGTGCGCGCTGAGCACAGGCACCACGCCAGGGGGCGCCCCGTCGGGGGCACAGAGCTCCTGCAGGCGGGCGGGGCAGCCCGGGCTCGGCATGCCCCCTGGCGGTGGGAAGGCCTCCGCTCCGTGGCCCGCCTCCCACTTGTACTCGAAGTTGAGGCCGCGGCTCGTCTCGGTCACGGTCAGCACGTCGTCGCCATCGGCGTGGAAGCCGTCGCCCGCAAACTGCTCCAGCAGCGGGAAGGACGAGGCAGCGGCCAGGGGAAGCTCTCCGGAGCCCCCTAGTGCCAGGCCTGCTGCCCCCAGCCCGGGGCCCGGGCCGCCGCCGGGCCGCAGGGAGCGCCAGCGCTGCTCGAACTCCTCCTCCGCCTCAGTGGCACCCTTGGCGCACAGGTAGGAGAGCAGCAGGTGCACCTCCTCGGCAGTGGGCCGCTGCTCCGGCTGCAGCCAACAGAACTGCATCACCTCGTACCTGCCGGGAGGGAGGCCCGGGGCTCAGTCCTGCCAACCGCCCGCCCCCGGCCCCTTCACCCCCACAGGAGCGAGCCCACCTGCCCTCGGAGTTAGGGTCTGGGGTCCCCTCCTCACACACAAAATCCTTGAGGGCAGTTAAAGGAAGCTGCCGTTTATCTGGACGTGGCGCACGGTTTGGGCGCCGATGGTGGGCAGGGCACTTTCCGTAGGCCAGCCACCCTGCCTGCGAGAATTTGTGCTTTGGGTCAAGAGTCCATTGCCCTTCAGGGGCAGGGTGGGACCCAGTCGTCACTGCGGATCAGAGGGGAGCCAGGACGAGATGGAAACCCAAGTGATCAGGAGCTGCTTCTTCCCTGGGGACTCAGAGTACCCCTTTTGTCTCGCCTTCCTGCTGGGGACACCCCCATCCCAGCCTGGCATCCCTGGGTCCTCACCAACGGTCAGACAGGGTCAGCTGCAGCTGGGGCTTGGGCAGCTTGAGCTGCTGCTCCCGGACGGCATAGGCCAGCACCTGCCGGTCGGAGTGGTGGGGATAGGGCTGCACACCCAGCTCGAAGAGCTCCCAGATGGTCACGCCCAGGGACCTGCAGGGGGCGACGGCCATCAGAGGGGGCTGGCGCGGTCGGCAGGGCACCACTGCACAGGATCTCGGACCATGGGGCACCGAGGGGCAGTCTCTATCATCACACCAGCTTCTTAGGGATGCCCCTCGCGGACAGGCTTTCCTTCCATAAACAGGCAGGACGTGCCACTGGCCAGGCCCAAGCCCATGCCCAGGGTGCCCAGGCAAATAAAAGCCAGCCTGGCCTTACATGAACCCAAGTCCACTTGTGTGTTCATTCATTCATTCCTTTTCCACAAAGACCAGACACTACCAGGTGCAGGAGCTGCCCTGGCCAAGCTTCTGGTCCTTCCAGTCACCAGCAGAGGCTGGAGAGAGGGACTGTGCCAAGATCAAGGGAGGAGTGAGTCTAGGGACATCTCATGTCAGCAAGGGTGGACCGGGGAACACACAGGCCCGGGAGAAGGCAACTGGGTTCCTTACGGCGAGTGCCGGCCTCACCGAGCTCCCTTAGGACCCTGAGCTGTCCCGGCAGCTGGGGACATGAGGGACAAAGCAGATTTGGCAACAAAGAAGTCATGATGGCCTCGGCCAGAACCATCCAGGGGACCCCAGCCGGCGTGCAACAGGACAGGCAGGCAGGGGAGAGTCAGAGAGGGAATGGCATGTCCACTGTGGGGGCATGGTCTGGTGGCTCAGGGAGGGGGACTGGTAAACTCAGGAAGGGGGGCTGGACCATGGACCTAGACTCTAAGGGTTAATCAGGAGCAGAGGGGAGGCCAGACTGAGGCCTGGGGGGCTGTGAAGAGGCGGGGGTAGGAAGCAGTCCGGCCAAGGCCAGGGGTGGCCTGTGGAAGTCCATGCCTTTCGATTCTCACGCCTCCCAGAGGCTGCAGTGCTGGGTGCAAATGCCCACTTTGTGCCCACTCAGTGCCTCCAGACTGCAGTCATGGGAGATCCCTGGTCCCCACCGGTCCCTCTGTATGGGAGCAGGGGTATGTGGGGCCCCCCGACTCATCAGTCCAGCCTGTTGTCGCTCCCAGAAGGTCCTGCAACCTGCTGTCTGCAGGCCTTGGCCCAGGGGTCCTGGAGGGGCAGGACCTCCTCCATGGCCAGGCCAGGACTGTGGGCACCTGCAGCTACAGGTGACTCCAGCACCCCTGTGACCTCACCTGGGGCCACATGCGGCCACCTACAGAGCGATGAGGCTGGACAGGTGAGCACAGCCTCCCACACGTGGCCTCTGAGCAGCCAGCCTATGTCCCCTCAGCACGGGAAACAGGCGGTAGGTGGGGCTCAGTCCCTGCGCCCGCACCGGACGCCCCAGCACCAGGCAGAGCGGCCGGGAGGGCTGAGGGCAGCAGGTGGGCCGCGCCCCCCACTCACCACACGTTGCTGGCCTTGGTCTGGTCCACCACCAGCAGGTTCCCGTGCACCTCGTCCACCAGCTCGGGCGCGATCCAGCGCAGCGGCACCCACAGCTGGTCCGCGGTCACAAAGTAGTCCTCCTGCGGGTGTGGGGGACAGTGTCACCGCCAGGCCCACGCCGCTGGCCTGCCCCTCCGGCCCGGCCCGGCCCGGCCCACTCACTCTGTATTTGCTGTGGGACAGGCCGTAGTCGCCGATCTTCACGGTCAGGTCGGCCGTGAGCAGGCAGTTCCTCAGGGCCAGGTCACTGGGGGCAGGAAGGGGGGTCAGCCAGCTGTGCCCGGCCGGGGTCCCAGGTCACCGAGGGGGCCGCACCGCTTGTTGCCCAGGGCACCCTGGCTCAGCTCCGTGATAGGCAGGAAGGGACGTCCGAGAGGCTGCCACCCTCCCCTTGCCCAGAGCCCAGGGCCCTCGCCCAGCACTGGGCACTTCGGAGGGTCCGTATGGGCCTCAAACATTACAATGTAGGTGAGGGCAATGAGCCCAGAGAGATCTAGAACAAGCCGGGCCTTGGGTGAAGGTGTGGCCCTGCAGTCACTCCCACTCCCAGCCCCACTTCTTCCTGGACACCAGCCTGCTGACCTGTCCCTCATCCCTCGGGGGCCAGCAAGCCCAGGGACTCTGTGGTCTTTCCTCCCGCTCACCACGCCATCACCCTCAGCTCCGTCATCAGAGAAACTGAGGTCCCAAGTGTCCCAGCAGGTCCCGCCCTGCCCACGGGTGGGGCGGGGGTGAGTGTCCGCCTGCAGCAGCTCCGTACCCCCAGCCCCGAGGCTGGCCTTGGCTGCCCGAGTCTCCCCTGCCTGCCCGGGGAGTCTGGGCGCAGGGCACGGGGATAACCATGGGATGGGGCCACAGATGGGCCTGGCTGCGGGCACGGGGGCGTGTGGGCACGGCGGCAGGTCGGGAGGCTGGCGGCTGCCCTCTTCAACAAAATCACTGATGCTGGAGTTGCGTGTGTCATCACTCAGCACCAGGATATTGTTGGGGAGGACGGCCCGTCGGCGTCCAGGGCTGGCGGGCCATGTCCATTGCCACCTCTTCAGGCTGGTCCCCCTGCGCCGGACACCCTGGCCCATCTTTCAGACTCAGGGGCCAGGGCAGGAAGCAGGACAGAGCCATCCCTCCCCAGAACCTCGGGCCTGGGGGAAGACAGGCGAGCAGGGGCTGGCGTGGGGCCCAGGGGCGGCACTGACCGCCTTGGGGCCAAAGAACAAGCTCTGGCCCTATGGTGTTTCTGCCCCGGCCAGCCAGACAGTATGGGTCCCATCACTTAGCCAACTGTCCTGCAGAGCACGGGTGTCTGACCCCCACCTGCCTGGTGGCTTCTGTTTAATAAAATCACTTTGCACGGGTGGTCCCTGGAAGCCGAATGAACACAAGCCCTCCTCACGCAGGCCCTGCAGAGAGCTCCCGGGGCCCAGGGCTCCCAGCCCAAGCCCCACGCTCACCTGTGCACGTAGTTGTTGCGATGCAGGTGCAGGACACCACAGGCCACCTCGCAGGCCATGCGCTGCAGGGTCAGAGGGTCCGGCGCCATGGACTCCGTCACCCGGCAGCTCCGAAGGTAGCCCTTGAGGTCCCCCTGCCAAGAGGGGCAGCACCATCATCTGCTGGTGGGGAGTGGGTGCCTGTGCAAGCCCACCACCCACCCCCTCCCACATGGCCTGCTGGATGCACCGGGGTCCTGCTGACAGGCACCCAGGGGAGCCGCTGCACCCACCACCGGGGGCCTGGCTCTCTGTAGGACAACCCGAAGGCAGGGGGCATCTTCTCCAAACAGCCTCACAGTTCAGACCCGGGCAGTCCTGTGGGGCCAGTGAGGCCACATTCTGGGTACAGACCACTGGAGCCCCGCTGGTAGGCTGCAGACAGGCCACATGATCAGCAATGCTGAGCCAGTACAGAACCCAGGGCAGGTGACCAATGTGTCAGGGGCAACTTCCTGACCTGCTGACACCACCCAGCTCCAAGGAGGGCCCAGCTATGCTGGGGAAGCCCAAGGTCAGGGCTATGGCCAGGAGTCCAGAAAGCAGACAGCGGGACCTGGGTGCTTTGGGGCCCCACGTATGCCGAGGGCACCTCCATGTGGGCATGCAAGGAAGGGCCTGGAGGCAGTCTGCAGGTGCCTCTGGGAGGTGGTGGGGCAGATCCCTCCACCCCAACCTTGCTTTAGGGGAAACATGAGGCCCACAGAGGGGGGACAGGGGTCCCCGCGGAGCACAGTCCTCTCTGTGGGGATATGGGGCCCACCCTCTGGTCCTGGAGAGGAGCCCGGGCAGGCAGGCTGGAGGCCGGGGCGGGGACTCACCATGGGGCAGAACTCCATCACCAGCAGGTAGGGCGTCACCTCCGCGCACTGGGCCAGGCACTGAAGCAGGTTCCCGTGCTGCAGGGCCCTGCGGGAGCCAACAGGCTGCCCCCGACTCCCACGCAGGGCAGGAGGGCGCAGCCGGACGGGAAGGGGGTTTGGGGGAAGCGGGACAGCACAGAGCTCACCCTGGGTGGC